GAGAGCCTGGAGGGAGCAAGGCGATAAGAATGGTTTGACCCATGAGAGATTTTCGTAAAAGTGGAAAGCCTTAAAAGCCGAGGGATGGAGAGGCCGAACAGATCCGCTTAAGTTGATACCACTGCGCAAGATATGCTCCCAACTTTGAGGAATTTTTTGAGTTTTTCACAGCAATTGGTAAGATGCTCCAGAAATAATGGACTTCATGAGCATTTTGTTGGAAGTTTAAGTTCACAAAAACACAATTTGCGTACGATGGCAATAGGTAAGCTGAGGCTAAACTTCTCGTTCTTCCGAAATGTATAATCGTTTTACTTTCTGTTTACTGTACGGTCCAACTGTTATGATAAAAAAATCATGAAGTGTTCTAGCTTTTGCACCCCTCAGTAGCTCAAATCGCGGCGGCAGATGAGGCATAAATGGGCCTATGTATGATGATTAGGGTGACGCACTCGAATACGATGAGCATGGAACAAGTAAAGAGTCGAACGTTCACTTCTACATTAACTTCTACTTTTTGTTGTGACACATTTCATAGAAACACCGATTTGCCTCATCAATCGTTGTAGCGCGTACTGAATCCATGAATTTGATTCTGTGAAAGTTTTCCCCGTGAACGGCAGCTTATCCTCCCATTTAAGATATGAAAATTGGTCAGCAAAGCGCCTTACCTGATAACATCTTGTCGCACACATTTCCACGGAGTCCACCGGCACTTCGACTTCGAACTTAGCTTGGAATTCGGGAGGTCTCTCAGAAAGTGGCCGAGCTTGGAATTTGATTGCGCAGCCTGAAACGTTTATGATGAATTGGTGCTCATAAGGAGGGGTATCTAATATACAGGATACCTTTCTGGAAATGAGAGGCATTCTCGCCTCTAGTTCGATTAGGCAGTACCACGACAGGCTCCCCTATTTCGCGGGGTAACCCGGTGGTGACACCCTCCAAACTCGTGCTGGTCATCGTTTTAGGAGTTGTTTGAGCACTGACTTCCTCCTTTACTTCACCTTCAATCTGCTCGGAAAACTCAGGCTTGTCGGAATCCTTGAAACGATCTGAAAGTCCCGGGATTCACGCTGCCCTCGGAGTGTACTATCGATAGGTTAACATACAGCAATTGACACAGTGAATCCAAGTCGTGTTGCTCGCTTCGTAATGAAGTGTAACGGGGCCACTGCTACAGAATGGTTTGTCGTTATATGACAGTGAGCACTTCTTGTCGGCAGGCTCATACTTTGCGGCAGAGCAACCATCCTAGAAACATCTGGTTTTTATAACTTTTTTGGAACCAATTGGAAACTGAGGTGACTTCCACGCCACTATTTCACTCTCCCTATCTAACGCGGCATTGCTTTGGGGCCATTCTGACTTGCCGTATTGTAAGCTGTTCACCAGATGTACAAACTTTCTATATCTCCGAGGTATATATGCTCACCCGCATTAACTGTGAGGGAACAATTGATAACCTCATCCTTTTTTATGACTGAAGCGTCAAGTTCCTCATCTGCTCGATTACCGACCGCTACTCAAGGTAGCTGAAAGAGCGCTTCCCCTTCCCTCTAACGGAAATTATGCTTGACAGCAAGTGTTACTGAACGACTTGGTAGGCAGTGATTGGTGCAGACAACTGTGTGTGAAGGTGGCATTGAACGAGACAAATAGATCCGTTATACGATAACAGCAATGAATGAGTCCAGTTGTTCCGTAGAAGTCCTTGAAGAACTAAGATAATATTACAGTAGTCTAATCAAGGAGCAGGGATTGGGGTCAAGGGTGTGTCGTTAGATTCTTAACAAGGTATTCGTGTCCGCCCTACTAGGGGAGGGTGGGGATTTGGTGAAGAGAGAGGGAGGTTTAAGCTCAGTACTATTTTCAGTACTATTTTTCTATTGCTCCCCCACCGCAATCGCGGCATAGAAACCTTTTCCAACCTGTTCAAATTACCTATATAAACTATACAAAGAACTAAGTTGAGGTGTAAAAGAAAGCTTGGTGGACCGCTAAAATGTCTCGTATAGAAAATGATTAAAACCCTAGCAAAATCTCCGTATAGGAAAAGAATTCATCTGAAAACCACGAATACAGTAGAATGGAATAGCCTTCTCGCTAGAAAGCAGAAATTAATTTTTCATCTGAATTCTAATGCAATGTACCTGATAGCAACGGGTGGCGCATAATTCGATCGAATCAACAGGGAGTACGAGTTCGAAAGGAGCCGTGAATTCCTTCGGTCGTTGTTCGAATGGACTCGCTTGGAACTTGATGAGACATCCTGAAGAGAAGATTTGAGCTAGGCTCCATTAGAAGCACATTAAGCCATGCTGATTAGCTCAGCACATCTGAGTCTCTGGAATGCTTTTTTACGTACACATGGACATCAGGGCAATTTTCGAGACGGGCGGTTTCAGCGGCTTTCCAGGACACTCTTGTAGCAAAGGCCTACTGTCTTTACAGCCGTCACTGGCTCCCCCCCAGTTTCAACACTTTCTCAACGGGATGCTCGAAAAACCCTATCTTTCAAGGACTGAGTTCGCAAGACAAATGTTGTGAAACTTGTACTGTAGAATTCAGAATGTCGACGGTACATCCTGCATACACGATTAGTACGACCTCTATATATGGTAAGCGAAACGGTAGCAAACTATTTAGGGGAAATAACAATGTCGACCAGAACATAGAGGAACATGGTGGGCTACTCACAGTGAGGACCATAACGATGGCAGCGGTTCTACCTATTCAGTGCAAAGAAAACCTCATCAAAGGCGCCGCCTGGTTCCCTGGACTGAATTGCCGTGTCCGCATTCAGCAACATTGCATCGTGTAAGAAGGGCAGTGACAGGGGTATCTACTGACTTATCCCAAGGGCCACGCATGCGACATGTACACTTCACATCACAGGACGAAAGCGTAGAGCAGCGCGAAGCACGTGCTCCCTTTTCCACATCTCATGATGGTGATGATCTGTTGATTGTTCACTAGTGACGCGGCTGCTTCAAGAAAACGAGCGAGCGGCAAAAATTGGAAATGAAACAAGACCACGCTAGCTCCATTCTCGTTTGATTCTTCTATAACAGAACCTCCATATGCTTGATTAGAGCCGTCGATGCAGTAAGCCTGAGGTATTCCAGGTTTGCGGGGGTGAGATTGAAGTTAAGTCAGGTGTAGGCCAATAAAAATAGCGCTGATCGATAACAATCTGAAAATTTCTTGAATGAAACCTCATCAATTCCATACAGAAATCAGTGAAGGGTATTGAAGTGAGTGACCGTAGGCGAGCAGAAACGACCGAACATTGCTTCGCAACTGTGCTCTTTTGAAGCCTCAGCTCTTCCGCCTGTTGACTCTGAGCCTACTGGGACATGGGCCCGCTGTTGCTACGCTGATACTAAAGCTTTGTGTTAGTGCCGAAGCTGAACGTAGAAAATGAAGGGCAGTGGCTGCGTTGGTTGTCATCGCTCACTCCTTCGTTGTAAGATCACAGAAGCGCCGAAGAGCTTCCATAAGCAATATTGCAACCGTTGGACTGTCACCTCAACCTTCTACAATTCCGTTCTGTAAATAAACTAAAGTAGCTCCACCTTCCACGTTATAAGGGTGGAAGAAGAGTTTTCATCAATTCACTTAGAGGATCATTGCGGACTTTCGAACAAAAAATTCAAGATCGGCGTTATGGAATGCTTCCGATGACTAGTTTTCCGCCACAACATTGAACACAGAAGCACGACATTACCCTTACCTATTTGTCAAAAATAATCATCAAGCCGCTTCAAATAATTTAACAGAAAAACTAAAAAAAAACATGGAGTTTACGTCACCTCGTTGGAATTCGTCTCCTAGAGTGGGTTTATGAGAAACGCCTTCTGCTTCTGTCGGTGACTTGCTGGTTGTAAGGCTGGATTCTGGTGCAGATGGAGTGGACGTTTCCGATAATGTTTCCGACTGACTGGAAACAGTTGTCTCGGAAGTGCCCTCGGAAGGAGTTGGAGTGGTTGCATCAGTCTCGGCTTTGACTGTCATTGAAGCGCCAGGGGGATTTTCTGATGTTCCTTCTTTGCCGTTCTCTTTCAGGGTATCTAAACCAAGGTATATTGAAGATACATTAGGGAAGAAAACTTGAAGCCTTTGTAAATTGGCTTACAGCAGTTCACGCAGTGAATCCAGGTAACTTCTTCGGCTTTGTAATGTAGAACCACATCTCCTCTACTACAATACTGTTTGCCGATGTACGAAAGAGCACAGGAGCCAGCTTTCGGGTCATATTTCGCAGTGCTGCATCCGTCCTAGAATGAATTTTTTTCTGAGAGCTTCATCTTGGGGTCAGCTGCCAGCGTGACTTGCATTTGTGAATTGAACGTTATTAAAAAACACTGAATGGATTACCTGATAACAGCGAGTCGCACAAAGTTCTGCTGAATCTACTTGAAGCTCCACCTCGAAATTATCTTCAATTTCTGAAGGGCGTTGCGAGAATGGACTTGCTTGGAATTTGATAAGACAATCTGAAAGTAATTACTCTCCAACTGAAAAATGCCTGGAACCATTTTCTGGATTTCCTACCAAGTTCACTGATGGATTTTGTTCTTTTTTGGTCCGGCACTCATGAGCCTTGCTAGAAAACAGCGTGCACGATAAACACAGTAAATGAAAACCAGCGCTGATTTTTAANATAGATACGTATATTATCGCACTAACTTGGAAGCCAAAAGATCTGGGAAGCCAGTTTCCTATTTTGAATGCTCATTTTTGAACAGCTGTGAATCGTGCTGTCACGGGAAGGAACTAGTCATCACCAGACGTTGAGAACCTTCAAGCATGTTCATCTAACCTCTTCTCAACGTCTATTTCATGCCATCGATGGCAAGTAGTGGCGGCACCTTTAGTGTTGCCTACCTCTCTTTTAACGTATTTCGTGGAAAATGAATCTTTGTGAAGAAACACCCGCCCTTATCAAGAGCTTTAACTCGAAGTTTTCGAGTAAGAAGTAATTCCCTAGCTTCAGGCCACGCCATCCCAGTACTCTTAAGAAGGCATGGGATTGCTGAAAGCATCTGCTCATGCTCTTCCTTAGTTGCGTTACGTTGAAGACCAAAACGATAGCAGCGCTTCTGTATATTCAGTACAAGTGAGATTCTTAACGCTGTGGCTGTTCCATAGTTCCAAGAATCAAAGCCACGGGGATCTTGATGGACAATTTTTAAGGCAAGAGTCGTCTGATGGATAAATCGCAGATCACAAGCTCGAAACAGGAAGGGAATATGAAAAAATTTTGGACCGAGTTAAATGAGTTCATCTAGTATGTTCCTTCACTGAACAGGGAATACAGCTCTGTTCACGCTGTGCATGTTACATTCTATGGATGGGGAAAGCGGTAATTGTTGTGAAAGACTTACTTTTTCTGACAGTAGGTGTTGTTTCCTCTTTTTCTGGGTTGACAACAGCTAACGATTTCGTAGTTGACATCGCTTCATCATGGTCCATGCTAGCATCGGTGGAGGCTTCCGTAGGTGGAGTCTGGTCTTGGGGGGCATTGCTATGTTCTACATCTTCTTGGTGTGATATCTCCACTGATTCCGTTGTCGTAACCGTTGTGTGGTCTTCGTGGGCGTTGCTATGTTCTGAATCTTCATGGTGAGATTCCTCCACAGACTCCGTTGTGGTAGCCGTTGCTTCGTCTTCGTGGGCACTGCCATGTTCTACATCTCCTTGGTGAGATGTCTCCACGGATTCCGTTGTAGTTGTGGCAACCGTTGTCTGGTCTTCGTGGACGTTGCTATGTTCTACATCTTTTTGGTGAGATTTCTCCACAGATTCCGTTGTGGTAACTGATGTTTGAGCTAATTCCGCTTCGAAGTTTTTGGGAGACCCTGAAAATAGACGGTTTTTATGGTTTACAGAAATCGTACGCTTGCTGTGCAGTGTGTTCCAATGGCGATAACGGCACTGTTAGTCAAATAATTATAAAAAGCATGCGGTTATGGGCGTGCGGAGGACAGTGGACTGAACAGTGAATTCCGTGCTGAAAAAGTTACATACCGCAACGGAAACACTGTAATTTGACATCGTCTTGCTTAAGATATCGTATAGTTGAGGGAGCATTTGTACAGGTGTCTCTGTAATTCGCTCCCAGCAAGCATTCGCCCCTTCGAGGTGAATATACCGCAGCAGCACAGCCTCCACGGAAGCAGATTCGTGCACAGTCGTTCACGCTGTGACGTAAAATGATTGGAACCGAGTAATGAAGTAAACAGGGCGGGTTTGCCACCCACTTACTATGAACTCACGGTTACAGAAGTAAGTGGGCAAAAGAAAAAAATTGGTGAAATGAAGTGCATGGAAAGAGGTCGAGTGCAGTGAGGTGAACCGCTCACCTTTCCACTTTCTCCACTTCGTAATGATTAAAATTCAAAGTGTCTGCTTCTTCATCTAATTGGAAGTTTATTATGCATGCTGAAACACATGAATTGTCGTTAGACGCCTATTGACCCACTAATAGGTCGGTATACGGTTAGTCGCCTAAGAACACAAAAATATCTACGAAATCATGCAAGATGCAAGACTGTTAGACAGAGAGAACCATGAACGAACCGAGTGATTGTGGCGACCAGACCGTATCCAAAGTGGAAAATGGTAAAAATTCATGATGTTGAAGATTTTGCCGTTCTTAAGATAGCAGGTGGGATCAAAACGGCCATGTCAGACCTTCAGTGAATCTTTGCCCAGTCAATGGATTCCCCGAAAATGTTTGCAATGCTTTGACCAGAGAGTGTACAGCATTAGGCCCCTAACGTCTTGGCCATACCGTTAGATCCTGCCTGAACGGTAGTGTCGCTATAGACCACCTTTGAATGCTGTACAATCTTGCACAAAAGCAAACAAATGAAAATAATCGCTAAAAATCATTAATTTTGTATCATTGTAAGTAAAGCTCTTGGGAGGAAATCATCATGAACAGCGAAAATCTCCAACATGACATAGGCAAGATGAGGATTCACCTGGATAGAGTGTGCTCACTTGAGGAACCGCTTGATCTGGGTGTTGGTCGACGTGGGTGCTCACTTCAGGGACCGCATGATCTGGCTGTTGGTGAGCGGCGTGAGCAGGAGAGTCAACATTGAATTCCGTTGACGGTTTTGGAGCAGCTGAAATCCCCATGTTAAGAGTTCCAAGCCATAATTTTCTGACTATGACCTAGTGACAGAGTGAGCCCTTATGAACACGAAGATGACTTCATTCATCCACTACCACAAAGATGACTTCATTCATCCACTATGAAAAATAAAAGCGTAGAACAGCCGAATTTCATCGGAATCAATGTGCCGCCTCCTCCCTCTTTCAATTGTTATTTGTAGGGTTACCTAGTTTCCACGGTACTCAACCCTGTCCATCTTAATCAGTGTGAGCAGCAATCGTCTGTAATCATAGTAAGGCACCATGGGTGAAGATGAATGATCATTCAGACGTGTCACAGCATGGCACACAAACATAATCACAAAACTGTGCAGTCGTGAGCACATCCCATCACATTAGCCGGAGTAGTTTTCTTAACTGAGATGCGCCCCGCATTCGACTTTCATTCAGGATCAAGGTGACGCTTAGAATGTGTATGTGGCTTATACAACGACTTGCGGCGAATCGCCGATGTGCAATCCAGCGTCTTTTTGCCTTTTGGACATTGTCTGGCTCATTGATGCGTTGAAAGTGATGTTTTCTTTTGACACACAAGCTGTCTTCCTTCTGCAACAAAATGGCTTCCATCAAGTCATTGGACTGGGTGCGCGTGTGATGGATGAGCGAACGATACAACAGAACTAGTCTTGGGTGAAATGAGTTCGTATTTGACGAGAACTTGTCACCATCTGACTAAGCCATGACGATCATGCAGTGAAGTACTTTCCCATACTGACCTTTTTCCGGAACTTCTGTCGTGTGTGTGGGTTCGTTGTCACAGGTAACACAAGTGATTTGGAGAGGTTCGCCTTCTGGAATGGTGATCTTGAAGTGATCGCTAGAAACGTCGCAAGTGGAACGATCCACAACGTCTTCGGTATTCGCCGATAAGCGACATGATTTATCGGTCGGGTTGTAGAATGCAAACTGAAAACGTGGAGGTCAGATCAAGTGGAGAGGTGCCGGAGTGAAATCGGTTAGCGCAAAACTCACTCCACACTTCATGTCGAAGCATAGTTGAGCGCATTCATCGCCCGAGGTCACAGTGGTCTCATTCCATAATAATTGCACTGTTTCCCGATCGATATTATTTGTATACAAGAATTTCAAACTTCCAGAGCATTCTGTAAATAACAGAATAGGAGAATAGTCGATTTCCCCCTATTTTCAGCTATGTTCACCTCGTTTTGGGACAGTGACACGTAGTTCCGAAGTCGTTTTACCAGTTATGGGAGGTCCTGCAAAGATATCACTTTGTTCGGAACATATAAAAACTGACGCAGAGGGGATCAACTGCAGGTATTTCAAGAACGATGCCAACCTTCTGAAGGGGTACTTCAGGAAGGTAAATCGTCACTCTGATTCCCCAAAAATCATTCTGCAGTCCCGTGAGAAAACGAAAGAAAGATGTTCTCTACACATCAGAGTCTGAATCGTTTTTTTTTCTGGAATAGTGCCTCGATAAAACTGTTTTTGTCAGGGGCAACCTTGCGATAAAACAAGTTTTTGGAACGTTCGTGGAAGACGACCTCCAGTCAAGGTATGTAGTGAAGCCAATTAGACACAGTGCCGCTAATAAAAGAATTTGAAAAAGTGGCAGTCTATCCGAAGCGACCTACTTGAGTAGGCCTTTGAAGTAGATTAAAAAGCCACGGTAGTTTCCCAAAAAATTACGCTTGGTCCGCAACATTTCCAGCAAATATGTATGTTGCTCTGACAAATACAATACACAAAGGTTATGCAAACATATCACAAACATGGCTAGTTGTGGGAAAAAGTTCAGCCCCAAATGGGGCTTGGAAATGTTTTTGTACTTTCCGGTCACCGCGCTCTTTTCCCATAGACTACCGAGTATGCAACCATCCCAGCAACCCACTAGGCTACCCTTGGGAACCCTTGTGGTAGGGATGATAAGAGTGGTGTGTGGATTAGAGTCACAGACTACAACTTAGCTAACTGACGGATCCGAGCGAATTTCAAGACGAACAGGTTTCTAAATGAGGATATTCTACAACCTAAGAAAAGCCTTGGCCCCGATCTTTTGCCACGAGGGTATGACAGTCATGACTCGAACTCGACGTCGGATTATTAGCGTATGGGCTAAATGAGTAACAAATGATCGCAACAATTTGAAGGGAAGAAACATGCTCAATAAATGCTCGAGAGTATAACCCACTACATGCCAAAGTAGAGCAGACTACTTTGCTTTTTCAGCCGGCGGACAGGTCATTACTAAAAGTTTCATTCCACAGACGTACCCTTCTAGGGAGAGAGAAAGAGAAATTAGAGAGAAAGAACCTCATAAATTCATTTTTGGAGCTCAACTACATACTTTGAGTTAATTCATAAAAAATGAGTTTCTACATAAGTTGGCAATCCTATAGTAAGGGTGCATTTAAAATTAGCACACGAAAAGCGTATCATCCACTATAGTATGCCAATGTTGGTACTATAGCGACGATCTCGTGCTCATGAATCCACCGTAGTGTTCCTCCCCTTCATTGCTTCTGTTTGACCTTTTCGCAGTGTTAGATCCTTTTACAAGAATATTCATGGTCTATGAGATTACAACCCTCTCTACAGTGTGTACCCAAAATATTGGTGCCGATTTATAGCAATACATTTCGAACTTCTCAGCTGCGAAAGACGATGGAATCTCTATGCACGTTAGCCAACACTATGTGTTACAGCATGCTACAGTCTCCTTTAAAAATATCCCCC